GCCCAGATGGTCCCAACCCATATTCTGAGAACCTCTGCAGTAAATATTTGATGGAACTAACCAAATGTAATTTTGCTGATTCTTTAAAATATATTTATACATTTAGAATAAACCACATTGATGTCTTTCAAATAGTTATTCTGCTTTTCAATTTAAAAAGCACCCAAAGCATGAATTCAAAATACTGTATCTTAATAAGAGTTCTGATTCAAAAATGCATGTTCTGGTGACCTTGTGGCTGTTTCCAGTACTGAGGTTTGAATCAGAACTGAATCAGAACTATGGCCTGAATCAGAACTATTTATCCTAAGCTTCACATACATCCTGCTTGGTCCAAAAACAAGTAATAGAAGGCAGAACCTATAATTAGGCAGTTAAGCAACTGACTCAGGCAGCTGATTTTGGAGAAAATAAAATATTACATATTTAATGTATTATAATTGTATTTCTATTTCCATGGAGACTGGCTTGTTTGGATTTGTGGTCGCAAGTGACCAAATGTCCAAACTTGCTTAGGAAGCCCCCTAATCTGGGGAAGAGGAGTTATTTGCAAGTCAACTTTAGGCAACAATATGTCTGCCCAAAGCAGATGCAATCCACGAACTTGTGTTCTGCTGAGGGGTTGGGGGTGTACTCTAACAGTAGAGTCAGGGGAGATGGAAATTAATTTTGACTGAGAAAAGGCAAAGATGGAACATTAACCTCACACACTTCGCACTACTGTCCCAGATTACCGTATTTGTTTTTTAAAGGGAGTATTTTGAAACTGCTTTGAAGTACAAAACCAAATTGATAGGAAATCCCAGGTACAGGTCTGCAGAGTCACTTCTATTTTGGCTGGAGGAACTAATTTTTTTTGGTCACTACAGTACTTATTTTTGAGATTACAGTTTTTTCTTTATGATCTTTTTCTCCCTCCAGACAAAGCAGCCTCAAAGCGTTAAAAATTACAAAGTGTTAAAAAATACTAAACACCAATTAATAACAGTTGCCTGGGCAAAATTTACAGTGTCTTCTATACTGAGGGTGAGTTGATGAAGACCTGACTAAAAAGAAAATGAATCAATTTTGCTAGAGATTAAAAAAAAACAACTAAATGGATGTCAAGCATAGCTCCTTTACAAAATCTACAAACCATACTTTTTGGTGTTTTCTATTCATACTCACAATATTGCAAGAACCTGAGTTTCTCGTGGAGTTTATCATCATTTACTGAAACCAATCCCATTACAACATCACTGTGTCCTAAAAATACAAGCAGGCAAGTGATCAGTTCTATTTATTTAAATAAAATGGCTGACCATGTTCAAATATCACACAGGTAGGTTGACAATAAAGATGTGAACATGCTTGCTCATGATAACTGGTTTCTCCCACAAGCGGATATACTAATGAGCATCTATGTTAGCCTAAATTGGAATAGTAGCCAAACACTGAACTGGTTTTATTTGTCTGGAAAACAACAGAGAGCAAAGCCATCAATTGATTTTAGATTGTTTATGACCTTGTTTCAGGTTTCTACAAGTGGGAAAAGCAACAGTCTAGCATTCACACTTCACACGAGCCTGGGTTACAACACCCAAGAGGGAAGAGCCAGTGTGTTGTGTTATTTGTTGTGTTATTTGCTTAACAATAGGCTGAGTAAATGTGATGTGGAAACTGGGCCATGTATTTGCAGGTGCTATTGCCAATATTCTGTTATTCCAATGAAAGTTAAAACCATAATACCAGATTTCTGCTTGGGGTATCATCTTTCTAAAGCTGCTTAGCTCAGAGCTAAAGCTTACACTTGGTTGCAAAGGCATGATTCTCTAAGGTAAGCTAAGAGAAGCTTTTAAAACAATATTGGATATAGGAGGCACAGATGATGTTCAAAGAAAGCCCAGATTACAACTAGTAGCATATGAAAGATTCTCTGTCAGTCCTGGATCAATTAGAAACAATATGGCTTTCAAACATTCATCTAGTTCCCAGGACAAAAATTAAAAATGCAAATACCCTTTAAAAGGAGACTATACTTATCCATCCAAATACGATACATATTCAGATATAACTTCACCTTCTGCTATTTTAGTTACATTTAAAAATACATTATTAAAGAAAATTAATCAGCCACTGACAACAAACAACATGGATAAGAGGAAATGCGTTAAAAGATTATGAATTACATTATAAGACACATAATCTCATTTTCATTTTCAAAATGAATAAAATAAAGATCTGATGGTATATAAAAAAAGACTTGGACGATATAAAAAGCATTACTACTATTGTTCACTACAAAATGAACATCAACGTAGCCTGCAGATCTAATTTAACGTCCAAACACTTACCATTCATGTATTTGGTTGCTGAATACATACAAATGTCTGCTCCTAAAGACAAAGGACGCTAAAACAGAACAAAATAAGAGATTCATTTCATTTTCTGTTGAGAAAATCAATAGGAATTACCAATGAACACTGAGGCATATTGCAAATAAAAATTTCAAGCAATTCCTGCTACACAGAGGTCAAGCTTTTGGGAAGAGGGCCATTTATCACTAATACTTCAGTGAGCGTGAATCTGAAAAGGTTTAAAGGGAGGAGAAATTGAGTATCACCTATGGAAGAACAAACAGTAAGAGAAAGGAATTGAAGACACAGCTCTCAGTTCAAGACTGGATTCCATTTCTCTCTTTTCCCAATTGGTGTCACCCAAATCTCTTTGCTTATCAGCATGCAGGCCTTGGCTGAAGAAAATCAGAGTGCCGCTATCAACTTAGTGTTTGATTTGACCTTAGGACCAGATTTAAATCCAAATCCAACCACACAGCTACTAAAGCGCTTTGCATAAATTATTTTACTTCACCCTTCCTTTCCTCTCAGATCTGTGAATTAAAAGGACTAGCTGTCAAGAGCTTATAGCACGAATGGTGGGAAATTATAAAAGCAATAAATAAGTTGACACTACAATGTCACATCTTTGATGGTGAAAGACCATGTCTAGTTTGTAAAAAGGGAAGAGGCATCAAAGCACCTTGTTTACCCTCCATATGTTTGGGCTTCTCAGTATCTAGTTTCAAATGCCAACTGATTTCTTTTAAATAACAGCCAACAGGATGTTGTGAAAGTGCTTTTTGGCCCAACAATGTATACAATTTCCAGATCCCAACCTTCCAGTCTTCTTTAGAATCTGGCCCACTGATATAGTCTTGGGCATTCTTTCACAAGGCAATTTTACCACCCAAAAACAAAAGAGGGAATGAATTCAATTTATTTATTTATTTGATTTCATGTTGCCTAACTCCAAATGAATCTGGGCAGCTCGCCATACACCAGAGAATATAAAAACAATATAATAGGAAACACACCAATTCACAGTATCTTGTTGGTGTTCCAAAGGGCCATAAAAACCCGGCTGTTCTCTTGGGCTAGGGTGGCTGGAGTTCCCTCCGCTGGATGTTAGATGTGGGTGGGAAGTTCTTTGGTTTGCTTCTTTCTCCCTATCATGGGGCCAAGTTGGGATGCTTGTATGGAATGGGTACTGCTGTTTGGGGGATTTTAGCATATTGTGGATGGTCAGAGGTATTATGTTTTAGACTGGATGCTGGAGGAGTCTTCTTGGGTTGATAACCTACTGAACTGGGCTGGATTGGCCTTTCTTCCCTGCTGCTACTGAGTCAGCCATCGCCTCAGTCACTTTGCATTGACTGAAGGGGTAAGGAAAGACTCATGGAGTTAGGGCCATTGCTGTGATAGCAGCAAGGGAGAACTTGCTATGCGACCCTCCTCAATTGCTGCAGTCTAGAAGAGGCTCAGTGCCAGGGCAACAGTATCTTATTGGGGCAGGGGGCACATTACTATTACTGCTACTATGGTAGCAGTACACTAAATAAACTATGTTTACTATGGTAGCAGTAATGCAAAGTCAAAATATTTATCCATAGTTTATTTAACAAGCCATACTAGTCTACTCCTACATAATACTAAGCCAGAGTGGATAAGGTGACACCTTATTTAAACCAAAAGCACATAATGGCTGTGTATTACATGTTAGCCAGCTTTTTGTTTTTCCCTTTCCCCTAAATTCTTCTAGAAAATAAATGAAGTTTTTTTTTCCTAATTTGCACATTAGGTGCTGCATTGTGTTTAAACAAAAAAGCATTCTTCCCCTTCCTTGCTATCTCCTTGAAGACTTGGATGTTTCCTCAGGCATGAGGTCTGGAGGTTAGATAAGCCTGTCACTATGAGTTTGTCTTTCTTAGGTGAAGTTGGGTTTGTCCTTGGCTGCCATTTACTTTTTCATTTTTTTTTTTTACTGTGTTCTGTTTCATCATCATTTATTAAGATCCAATATAAAACAACTCAAGTACAATCCAAAAACATAATAGCATTGCACCAGTTTAATACGTAGTGTACTTCTACTAACAAGTCTGGATATGTCATAGGCTTATGACTAAGGCACAAAACTTAGCAATTACAAAGGTGATTTCAGGACACCTGTCATTTAATTTCTAGATAACATTGGTCAGGGCAGCCAAGCACTCTTTCCGTTAGAAGGTAGATTAGTTGAGAACACAATTCTGCCTAAAACTTGTACCTTAGAAAAAACATGTTCTAGGGTTTCAATTTCATCAAAGGCACAGGGGTGTTGCCTAAGCACTATAGGAATTCCTTTATATCTGCTGTTCATAGTTGCAGAAAGGAGGGCATTAAAGCAAGCTTGGGAAAAAGCCTAGTAATGGATAAAGGATAACTTCAACAGCATGCAGGTTGTGGTTCCCTTGAATCACTGAGATTATCTAACCTAGGGGCTGCTGCTAAATTATGCTGAAGTTCGATGTCTTCTAAGCTTTGTTTAATAAGCTTCATGGCTTTATTGCAATCCATATTTAGACAGAAGTCAGGAAACATGCCAAGGTGAATCAGTTTCTTGATTATTGCTATGTATTATCTAGATTTAAAGACATTGCATGGGATTGGGGGGTCAGAAGCCAGGTGGGAGACATTCTAAGGGACTCAGATTAGAGATTAGATTAGTCATAGAGATATGATTAATTGCCAAGATCTTGTTTCAATGTTAATCAGATTGGCCTCTGGCCTAAATACAGCAATGGAAATACTTCTAGGCATAGAGAATATGGCTTTCAGAAAGTATGACTGTATTTGTTCATATGGTTGGAATGTTATGCCAGAGTACTGATGTTCTGTTTTGCTGCTTTTAATCCTATGTGCACCACCTAGAGTTGCAATTGTGAGATGGGAGGCTATATAAATTGATACAATAAATAAATATCTTTTATACTCTTCTGTACTCCACAGCAATTTGTATCAGTGGAATTATTTCCCTCTATTATGTTAGCTACTCTGTTAGGAATGTTTAGCTGGAGAATGGTTAGATTATAGGCTTATGGCATTGTCACAATTCTAATTCTATGGAATTAAAATTGTTCCATTTGCCACTTCATTTTCTAAAGGCTTCCTCAATGTAGCCCGGTTATTACTACCATGACAACACTTCCTGTTTTCCAATAAAATATTAAATTAGAATGTCTGCACCTTCATCTTTCAATCCTATATTTGTTGGTCCTTCTGCATCTTAACTCAGAAATAAAATCCACTATGTCTGGTGGAACTGGCTCAATAAAGTGCATTTAGGGTCACTGTACAAAGGAAGGTCAAGTATTAATGGAATTCCTGATGTCTCTATTGGAAAGAGAGTCTCTTCTGATATCTGTTTCCCCAGAACTACTTTTCATATGAACCCTTTGTGATATGTTCCACCATGTGAGGTGAAATAGGTGACCAGAGTTGGCAGTGATCTGCCATGGCCTCTCCAAGGAGACTGTTTGATGCCTGCAGCACAATCCTTTTGATACCAATCAGAGACATTTTCACATCCAGATATTTTAGAAATTACTCTTAGGGCTATTAGAACTTCATACTCTCTTATTATGGGTTTACATTCTGTACTTATTAGCACTGCTCCAGCCAATTATATCATTCTAATTGTGTAATTATGTTGGTTTTGTTGTATATTATGTTCACTGCCTAGAATAGCTGAGCTTTAGAAGCCAAATAAATAAATAAATAAATAAATAAATAAATTTTGAGTAACCAACTTCAGATCCTACTTCTGCCCTTGTGCAACATTCACCAGGTGGTTTTATTATCATTATTTTCCCTTTGTAAAAAGAAGAATCATACAGGCATAAGATAAAAGAATGCAAAGTATTTAATAGATCAAATTGTGCTATACAAATAAAAGCAGCTATAGCAAACCAATGAAAAATGGCTTACCTGGAAATATGCAGACATAAAAGTATTGTCTACTGCTAAAATAACTCCTTTGTGTTTACGAACAATGTTCGCACATCCTTGAATATCAACAACTTTCAGTGTTGGATTTGTTGGTGTTTCAATCCATACAAGCTGTTATTTTTGGAAGAGAAGGATATTAAATATATATTATTTTGAAGCTATCGACTCCAAAGTACATTCTTGTTTTCCATTCATACTTTTGTAAGACATTGAACATTGAAAGATAATATCAAGAACTTTCTCCTTTTCACACATGACCCTTTATTTCATTACTACTTCCTTATAGGGAAGTGTGGGAAATTATTTAATATTGGCCAGCCCAAGTGATCCCATGGAAACATATTTAGAGACTTTTAAATATTTCAGCTCTTTCTATAGTTACCCTGAGATAGAGTTGGATTGTATAGGAAGCACTTTAAAAATGCAGCTTGGGAGCAGATGGCCCTTTCCCTCTTTCTGAATCTAAGAACTCTTTGCAATCTCCTTTTGTCAATTGGTCAGCAGATAAGAAGGGCTTTCTATCTTTCTCTCTATCCCTCTCTCTTAATTCCTTCCTTTTGGTAGGTGTACTGTATGCATAAGTGTGAGTGCATGTATGCGGAATATGCTCTAATAAAGTAATATGCTCTCTAACAAAGAAAATATTTGATCTTGCTCTGGCTTGTTATGTGTGGTCTCCACAGATGTGCACTCTGATACAAGGAGTCCCCAGGTTAAGAACGTCTGGGTTATAGATGATCCATAGTTAAGAATGGAGCCTTCTGTAGCAAAATTCAAGTTAAATACACAATGATTTGAGTTTAATACACAATGATTCAAGTTCATTACACAATACTTACATACAAAGGACTTAAGGACAGATATTGGGAACAGAGCTCGTTCTTAAACTGGGGACTACTTTGCATATAAGATTCTATATATTTTGTAACACCATCCAATTTTATGTTTTAAATCCTTCAAATAGTTACACCCAATTATCTATACATCCCACAATGTTAACATCTATGGGTCAGTTCTACTGTCTTATTAGCCAGTAGGGGACAGCCTTCAGTTAGTTCTGCATGGAAGAAGTCACTGAACCAAGCTAGAGCAGACTAAATGACAGAGAGCCTCTGGATTTGTAAGAAACTTAAGGCAGGGGAAGGAGGGGGAATTATCCTCCAGTCATTTCACCCAGAGGTCCATAGCAAATATGCTATTTACAGGCATTAGGGCTGCCCTAACAAACTATACCACAATTTAGCCAAAACTACCAAACCAGAAAGTGTATCTTATTCTATACAAACTGCACAGAGTTAGCTTGTATTCCCCGCTGAAATAAATATTTGGCAAAATTCTCTATATTTGAAGCTCTCAGCCAAAGACACCAAAGGCTCCCTAGGAAAAGGTCCCTAAAAAAGCAAAGAAACTGCATCATTTCTTATGAAGCCTACAATCCCATAACAATCATGTCTGGAAAAAGCTAATAGTGGGACAAGACCTGGACTATGACTAGAGAGACCCAAGTTCTCACTTGTTACTATCTTGGGCCAGTCACTAACTCTCAGCTTATCTTCTCTCATAGATCCATTGTGAGAAAAAATATGGGGGCAAGAGGAATCTACAGGGAACTGGGCAGCCTCAATAAGGATATTGAATTCTCCAAACCTATTCAAAAGGAATGAAGAATCCTTTCTATCAGCTCAACTGGAAAGTTTAATCTGCTAAAAATCTCACCTTGGTCTCTCACAAAACTTTAAAAGAACTTTAGGAAACCTCCATCAGCGCTTAAGACCTGCCTGGCATTACTTTTTCACCTGTTTTATGGATTCTTATGAAAGTCCTGGAAATGATCATGATGATCCAGACAGACTCTAACCACTTTAAAACAGATCAAGGTTTTATTGCTCCAGTTGTATTATGACACATTTGGATGGGGGGGAAAACCCATGCAATTTTCTCACAGTTTTTCAGCTTGACAGATTAATGTTCTTCTGCTTATACTGTACCTACCAACACTAGCAAAGAAGCCAGTTGTTAAATTTACATCATACCCCTTCTCATACCAAACAAGATGAATTTAGTACAGCACAGTCTGTATAAAGGAAAGTGTGTTATATCATCTTAATCTCTTTCTACATTTTTGTTTTGATCAGTTGTAGCCAAACATAAACCCTATCCATGCATGATACAGAATCTTTGTAGTTGATTGTGAGAACTGGAAGAATAATCACACCCGTTCCACACATGTGATGTAGCCATTCCTGCAGGTACAGCACAAATCTCTGTAGGAAATGGTCCTTCCAGAACATTCTGTCCCTAAATAAATTCACCCAGTCCAAGTAGATGGCCAGAGGCAGGCTGAATCACATGCATGAGATCAGAACAGAGTTATGTGACTTTCATGTTCAGCAAAATAGGCAACAATACCCAATTTTGTACACAGCAGGAATTCCTAGTCTGCCATATAGTCATGTTGGGAATGTCATTTTACTGGTTTTCCAGTTTTACCTTGGTCTCCGGTGTAATTGCATTCTCAAGGCATTCCAGTTTGGTGCAGTCAACAAAAACAGCATTTAGACCCATATCTGTTGCTATCCTTCGAAAATATCTATTTGTACCTACGATGGAAAGACACTCATCTTTACTGTTTGCATGTCACATTAATGTCATTAGGGAGAATGTGTCACTAAACTCTACACTGTTTTACATTTCACATTTTGGAATGAATGACGTCTCCAGTACTATATAAGAGCTTCAGATAATACTGATAATAAACACTGCCGATGGATCTTGTCTCCAATGGCTGCCCATTTAAATATTTATTATTATATTAATATCTTATTAATGTATTTCTAACCTGCCTTTAAAAAACTATCAAGAGGTATCCTGTTGATCAGTGCAGAAACTCTGCAGACTGCAGCACAGAAGAAACCAAGTGCCAAAGAGAAAAATACTCAATTAGAAGAATACTAGCTACAGCTTTGCCTATAAAAGATCCCAGATTCAACCTCTGGCATCTCCATATAACAAGAATCCAAGAAAAGATGCTAAGAAAGCTTTCCTGAGATCCTGGAGTGGATGCCACTTGGTGAAGCCAATACCAAACTAGATTTTGAATTCTCTCCTGTAGAAGGGTTATGTGATTCTTCTGTATCTGCTATGTCTCTGGCATCCGAAATTGGCAATATTGTGCAACATGTAGAAGTGGGATGGCAACTTCCATAGGCTGGAGGAATGAACCAGGCTTTGCCTTCTGCATAGAGGGCGGCACTCACAGAGTTCAGGAGTTTTAAGAGATGAAACAAGTATCATAAATACCTGGCAGGCTTAAGGCATCCAAAACACAGAAAAGGGGGTCAAAATATTTGGCCCCACCCTATGAGACAGCTTTGGGGATACTGAAGTTAGGATTGCAATCTGAACCTTTTTTAAAAAAAAAGCTACTTGGACTACTGAAAGTTTTGTAAACAACTTTACAGATGAACGGGACCTTTCATCAGCTTGACCGTGCTCCAATACAGAATATCAAATGCTCTAGTCTGCATGCCATGGTGTCATCAAGCATTCCCAGAAACAATATTTTCAAAGCTACAGGCCTATTCATGTTTTCTGGGAAAAAGATCCCAATGCACTCTAGAAAGCATACAGTATATGAGTTGACACACATATGTTTACTCTTTCAATAAGGTTAACTGAGGAATTAGGGAAAGTGACAGACATTATAAAAGGACTTTTGTTATTGAAATAGGCTCCAGTCTTCCTGGAGGCAAGCACCACAGAATACAAAGGTACTTACTTATATAGAAAATATGCGATTACAGAAACTTTGGGTACTTTTAATAGCATATTAAGTGGAAGGCCAACTCTTCCCGCTAGATTCTGCCTTTAAAAAAAATTCTAATCCCCTTCATTACATACAACTGCGTGCTATAAATGCATTGTTATATTGAGTTCCAGAAGGAATTAAAGACAAAAACCACAATCCCCATGTAGATTCATATTTTGCTTTGTACACAATTTTTGTTATTTTGAAAAATACAGAATATTATTAGTACCTTCACCTGCTCAAAAAAAAAAAGGAAGCAATGTTTAGCTGGTGGCATTGATCCAAGATATTGCTTGCTTTTGAGGAAACATGTTTTCCTTCTCCTATTGCTATGTGAGACGCTCTGTCGCAGGGCACACATTACATGGCTAACCCTGTGAAGTAAATGGATACCTATTTTGTTTATGGCTAAAGCCATCTTGGCTGCTGTCCTAGAAATTCTATGCATAAATAGCAGAAAGGTCAGCAGTTCAGAGATGCCCCATTAAAGATTAGAGGTCTGCACCTTCAGCCAATATAAATGTAGGTCTGCAATTCCTACGTATTTATTTTCAAAGAGCAAGTGTAAAGGTTCAGAGTAAAACTTTATTGCTTCCATTTTATGCCTGAATTAGCTCCTTAGCTCGCTTAATGCATTGCCTGCACTATGTTAAAATTCACAGTAATTGTTCTAATATCCAGGTGGAAAAGTTGCAGATGAATCAAGTTTGATCATTTGTAAAACATAGTGTAAAGAATGGCACGGATCTTGTTAGGAATGCTCCAGCCTTTAAACATATAATGGGACATAGAACAGCAACTTTCAGGGAGAGCACTGAGCAACCAAAATGCTCAGCATCTGTAATGCTCAGAACCCAATGATGGATAGCAAATGGAGACCTTAGCTCAGTCTCTCATCTGCCAGGCTGCTGGGGCTGGCCCTTGAGCAATGAAGTAAATCACTGCTCCATATTTCCTCCCTTCTTTTGCCATCTGATCCTAAGCTCTTCCATTTTACTTCATTCATCTTAGACCCACCTCAGAACACTACCTCCTCAAAGTCCCACATGCTCCTGAAAAGTATGTGGGAAGCTAATTCCAGTGTTAAGAGCTGATTCCATTTCTCACTCCTAAGTTAGTTGGAAGAAGGGTTGCAGATCAGCATTGTTTGGTACAATAGCATGTAAACATATTACATAAGTAATATGTAATAATAAGTAAATCTTTTTTTCCCCAAATTTACATATAATAAAACCAAAATGTTCAAAATATTCTGAAGCAGCAATGCCAAACCATGACTTGTTGTTACACATACTCTGGGTTCATGGACTTTTCTCTTCCTTTATCCAGAAACAGTTTGTTTCTTCTGTAATTCAACCCAACCAGCAAAGTATAGTTTGCACTTGTAATCCAAACCAACTCCTCTCTTAGTTGAGAGACAAGAGACAAACCATAGTTCTCCAGTCTAGAGAAGGATTAGGTGAGAAAGTAAATCAAATGCATGACTTCTTACTGTAAATTCCCAAATGTTTAAAATTTAAATCATAGATCAGAAGACAGAATCATTATAAATTAATCACCTATAAATCTTTGTAGCTAGCCACCATTGTGGAAGAATGACACGCTTGCAGTATCATCATGACACAAACCCCACCCTTTCATAGTTTACATCCCAGTGTCTTTCACTGGTATGTAAGTTATAGTGTTTGCATTGTGACATAATAACACATATTCTATCACTCTCCCCATGAATGCCTGTATTATCAAACCTTGGTAGAACTACTGCTTGGTAAAATCATTCATCTGGAGATTTTGCAAAACTAAACTAAGACAAATCCACAAAAATCCATCCATTTTCAAGGCAGGCTTTGTGCAATGTATGTCTATGAAGAGGACTACCTAGTGCTTTTCCCCACCCCACACCCCCAAGCTATTATTATATCCAGATATTTGTATCAGAGCTGCTCATAACTATAGTTTATAAGGCATATAAGCAACATAAAAATGGATAAATAGGGCCACTCATGAATTTGGTAAGACTAAGGGTATGAACATCTCCACTAATGATCTTTGACCTACTGTGGCTGTTTACCATCAAGTTATTCTTCATAATCCAATCATCAAGTAATAAACATAAATATACATACTTAAGTAAATTTGTTTAAATCACTTTTGTGTCCCAGCCTAAGAGATTATATCCAAGAATGTTTAAAACACATGCTGCTATACTGCTTACCGCCATAGACATCGTCTGTACAAATAACAGTATCTCCTGCCTTCAATAAGTGTGCAATGTTCACAGTTGCTGCTAATCCAGAAGCATACGCTAAACCTGAAGTAAAAAAAGAAGCAAATGAAATCTGATTAATTTATGAAATAATTCTTCAATATATTTAAACATTACAGGTAATCCTTGACTTACAACCATTTGTTTAACGACCATTCAAAGTTATGATGGTGCTGAAAAAAGTGACTTACAACCAGTTCCCGCACTTACAATTGTCACAGCATCCCCATGGTCATGTGATCAAAATTCAGGTGCTTGGCAATTGGCATGTATTTACAATGGTTGCAGTGTCCTGGGATCACGTGACAACCATTTGCGACCTTCCAACAAGCAAAGTCAATGGGGAAAGCCAAATTTGCCTAACAACTGCATGATTCACTTAACGACCATGGTGATTCACTTAACAACAGTGGCAAAAAAAGGTCATACAATCAGGCATAATACAACAACTGCATTGTTTAGCAACGGAAGTTCCGGTCCCAATTGTGGTTCTAAGTCAAGGACTACCTGTACAGCAAATAGGTACTATCACTTGTGACTCTGAATACCTGCTTGATGGATGGGTAGTCTCAGATAAGAATAGGAGCTTTGTACTAAAAATTGAATCAGATTTAAGTACAACCAAAAGTTCTAGCCATTATTTCAAGTCTGAAGATGTGGATTGACACATGCATCAATATTTCAGAACAAGATTTCTACTGGGTTTAAGAAAACAGATCAAATGAAATGATGGTCCTGCATAATGTCAGAGGCGATTATATCTATGTTTCAAATTTATGTTGCTTTTCCAAGAAACTAGTCTTCATACAAGAATAAATATAATATTCATATTAAAAATATTGATAGCTCACAGTATTTGGCACCATCTAGTGCTGCCACAGCTTTTTCCAAGCAGTCACGAGTAGGATTTCCACAGCGACTATATTCAAAACCCTAGGAAAGAGAGGGCACAGAATATCAAACTTCTTTATCAGTCATTGGTGGAATTTGCATGAACTTTATAAAGATTTACTGCAGCTCTTTGTGCACCAATTTACTTAAGAACTCAGATCATGAATGTGGATTAAATTTTGCAAACTGAAAATACTTTTATATAAATGAATTCACAATTGATCTGAGTTGGAGAGTGATAAATGAGCAGACTTCTTAAAGATTCAGCATTCAATTGCTCAAATGTCAAGAATACCCTATCCTTACTTGGGTTCCTGCATCATGCTAAGCCATTGCTTGTTTTCACATGGCTTATTAACTAAGCCACAATGGCTATGTTCACACATCGTGGTAGGAAGGATAGCCTTGTTTTTAACCATGTTTTATGGATTATTGTGAGCCACCTAGAGTCATTGTATGAGATAGGCAGCCATATAAGTCCGGTAAATAAATAAATAAGCTAAGTAGGTGCCTGAAATGCACAAACTTAAAAAAAAAAAAAAAACCTATCATGAACTTCATGCATTATAGTTTACTTTGCAACATAGTTTTAAGCAAGTGGGCAAGAACTGCATGTTCAGCCAAAATGAGCAAAGAAACTTCTTATACTTTTCTAAATGAAGCCAACTTGCTTACTTGGCTACAAATGCAATAAACACTGAAAAAAAACTTGGCTGTATGGTTGATTTTTATATCTACATCTATATTGCTTTCTTGCATTATAGGTATATAAATTATATCTACAATCATTCTTGCATCAGAACTAATTGCTTACAAGCTGCAATACATCTTCTACAAAACTGTAATAATGCATTTGTTGCACAGTAGCCAGAAACTAGGAAATAAGGTATTACATACAAATGCAGAAATGTCATGGAAAGATTTTTTTACACCATCCTTCAGTTTTAGCTTTAACTGCACCTACCTGGCTAAACATTCATAGGTTAATTAGTAATGCATTAAATGTCTTCTTGGACATTAACTATCTTAAACTGCTGCAGAAAAACCAAGAAAAAAGGTTTGGGTTGAGAGCTTAAACATATGATTTCCATGTTACTTTTACTGAACTTGATATTTCAGGCATATGATTTCTACAACAATACTTTGGATGGTTGCCACTTACTTATGTAATGTTCACGTTGTGGTGAATAATACAGAGAGAATAGCAAGGCAGGTTTGTTTTGCCCTGCCCTTAAGCATTTGCTGAGTTAAAGTGAGTGAGCATTTCCTTGGAATTACTCAGAACTATAATAATAAGGATCCAGAAATTCAACACTAATCAAATGCTTCTTAGTTATGTGTAAATATCATTATGAAGAGAGTTGGAAGTTTCACTATGATTTTTATAACATGGAACTGGGAATGAATTAAAAAAAAAACTCATTTAAAATAATTTGCAAATAAGCCACATATTTTAAAAATTAAAACAAGAATATAGAAATTAATAACAAGGATAAAACAAGAAGATAGAAATTAATAAAACTGCTGTTTTATTAGAGCAAAAAAAATTTTTTAAGTAATGTGTCACTTCATGATTTTTTGGAATAGTGTAGATGTAATCAACTTATTTCAAATTCCTTTTTAAATAAAACTGTCTCACACTTCCATTAAAAATAGCATTTTTAAGATACCTAACAACAAAATAACAGGATTTAATTTGTTGGGCAATATAATTCCCCACCAATTAAAACCTATGTCTAAAACAAACCAACTTGGACACCAAAGTCAATCTGAAGAAAAATGTATTTCTACCAAGCAAACAAACAAGGAATAAGCCTAGATTCCACTAGCAGGAAGTTTGAGAGCTGAGATGTTCTTTTCCCATGTTCCCACCAAGGGTACTACTAATCAATATGAGACAGAGAAGAGCCTCTAATGAGAAACTTAAACCCAGGCAGACACAAATGTAAATATATGGCTTCTTGAAGAGCTGGTTTGCAAATCAGGTCTTAAAGGTCATATAGCAAGTCCTTTAAACTCTCCACAGAAATGGATAGTAGTTGTTACATAAGAGTTACATGCTCCTATAATTGGCCTTGGTCATAGGCTGCCTGCAGTAGTCCAGTTCAGCTGAATGCATTTCAAAGCAGACTGACAGAGGAGAATTTGAAATGGGATATAATTCAAGCATGTGTTGCTGTGGCCAGTTCTAGGATCTCCAAGAATGGGTACAGTTAGCACTCCAGACTTAGCTGAACAAACACACTCGAAGGTATGTATACCAGCTGCAAACCTGAGTAGGCAATGGGATCTTCATCCCAATAAAAACAGGCTGAATAATATTCCCTGACTTGAAAGTCTAACTAATTTCCTGAGTGCATTTTTGAAAGCATGCAAGAGTTGGGAGACTAATAGGGCAAGTTCTGGATTGCAAAAGTCTGAAAAATTTGCCACATGGATTTCTTGAAAGAACCAGAGAGACAAATGCTGTCATTTCCAACAACAGACAAACAACAAACCACACCTAGAGGGTAAACATCATCTGAATTTTCATAAAAAGCTCTATTTTGAAATAAATCCCTTTTAATGCAATTGATACACTCCAGGAACACATCCTCTATCTTTCTTGCTTGGTAAGATTAACCTTTCTCCAAAATGACTCCCTAGATTCCACACGGAATCTGAATTTAGTTTAAAAGAAAAAAAACATATGTCAGGAGGCATTAAATGTCAGGAGGCATTA